CTTTGCAAGTCCACTGATTTGAAAATCCAGAATGTTAGGATAGAAAAAAGTTGATACTTGGCAGATTTTGCATCCTTACTGTGCATTTATGCACAGCTGCTCTCTCTAGAATGTTTAATTGTTATTCACAAGGTAGCCAAGTTTATTGTTGTTATTCTGTGCTATGTATGGCAATTCAACAATTATTGCTGTTTCATTTCAGTAACACCAGAATGAATGGTAAGAAATGTGGATTGTGATAATATATCAACATTATTTTATTTTGCAAGTAACTGTTAAACTAGAGTACTGTTCATATTTCACAGTCTGACTTTTACTGATGGCTTCTTAATAGCAGTTAAAGTTCTTTGTATTTCTATAGTTTTTCTTCCTTTTGAAAAGAATAATCTCTTTTGCAGTTTTAAGTGTCACTCTGAGCTTTTCTGTCTGTTTATGGGTTTTTTTTCCTTCCAAAATTGTAACTATTTTATAACTAAAAGAAAAAATGAAGCTTTTAATTGGCAAAATTTTCAGAATATTACTTAAGAAGGTTTTGTCACTCAGTGAGAAATCAATTATGTTAAGCAGGTTCTTTAGGAGAGCCCTGAGAGAGTCAGCCCATGAATTCAGCACAAAAATAATTAATTTCTCTTAAACTGTAGCTAACTGATTTTATTGCATATATATATATATATATATATATATATATATATATAAAAATTTCTCTCTTTATGTTTTAACACATTTTTTCACCTTAAACTCAGGTCCCACAGCTATTTCTCCTTCAGTGATGGATCTTCGCTCTCATGCAAATTCTAACAAGGTTGTCTTAGGAATCGTCTCAGTGTTCAATGTCAATATGTAGTGGGGTCAACTACTCTTCTCTGGGTATGTCAGTATATCCTTAAGTGGATATAGAGATCTGCCAAAGCAGAAAAGGTCTTGCTTTAACACACAAGGCTGACATTTCTGTGGGCATTATCCTGAGTTTAGTCTAGCTGCATATCACAGATTTGTACCTCGTAGGTCTTTAAACTGTTGTTCAAACAGGGAGTCTTCCCAAGATAGGAGAATCTGCTCCTTTGCACAACTTTGCACTGTTCAGATATTGTAAGGGCTTTGTGGGTTTTTTCCTCCTGTGCCACGAAGGATCCTTTCAAGGCTTTATTTATCTCTCTGTTTTTTTTCTTCAGGGGCAAGGGGCAATGCCTTCATCTCACCTGTCTTCTTCCTATACTTTTAACTCTGTTCTTTTGGCAAACACACTGGAAAGTTTTGGAGCCTCCTGCCTAGTTAATGCTGTGGCACAACAGAGTTTGTATGGGTTTCTGTATTTCACACCTGTTGTGAGATTGCTGGCAATTACAGAAGCCTGGCTTCAATGGCACAGCCAGGCCTGCATTCCTTCTTTCCTTTGGGGAAACAGGGAGTCAGAAAACAGGAGTGGATCCATCCCCCTCCCCATCGGAAGTCCCAGCAGACAACTGCAACATATACCTCTGGCAAGAAGATTTCAGATAGAGAATTAGAGCTTAATAACCATGCAGAAACTGCTTTTCATAGTACTTGCTTCACCACCTGACTCTATTTCACTGAGCCCCTCAATTAAGACAGAGTTTCTCTACAGCTTCTGAGGATCTCTGCTTAGCAGCACTCTGTGTCTCGGTCTTTCCTTCAGTACAAGTTCAAAACCCACAGGAGATTCTTTGGCATTTAAAGCCCTGTCAGAGTCTTGGATCCTGTGCCATTTTTTGGAAAACGGGATGAGAGAATGAAGGCAGGCTGATAAAGGAAGTGTATCTGAAAGGAATGAGTTTTTGGGGACAGGATGATGATTCTGAGTAGCGTGGGAGAGCCTGAGATTTTGCCAGTAAATTGGCTAGCACTTCAAAGTTTGTGAGACTTCCTGCAGATTTTCCATGAGCCACCATGATCCCTGCACTACCTTAAAGTGCTCCTGGTCATCATGATATTCCTAGTTTACCAGTGGTCAGCCTCACAAATCTGTCCAACATGATTTTTCTCATCTATTGCATCTTGACCAGATTGACTACAGAAAACTAATGCATAATATCTTTATTTGAACAAGAAAAATGAGAAAAATGTCATCAGAATTCACTTACTGAGTATGATTTTCTCCAAGTTTCTTGAAGAGCTTGAGAAAAGTTTAAATTTCACTAAAAATATTAACAATGATTAAGACAATGTGTTAGATAGACTCTACCTGTTCAGAAGGTGTAGTCTGAAGGACATTTCTTGCATTTTTTAGGGAATAGAGAATAATTCCAAGTATTTTTCAACATGAATTATAGCTTCTTGCATCCTCATCACTATGTTTTTAATGAATAATTGGCTTAGCGTGGTCTGAGCTAGTGAATTTAGATTAGAGTTCAGTTTGGAATCAGATTAACAACCGAATAGCTATATAAATGTCTATATTTCTCCTTGACATGTGAATACCAGAAAAACCTCACTCAATTTTCAAAATATCTGTATACAACAGAGAGAATTGCAAGTCGTAGTTACCCACCCTTCATAACAAAGAGCAAGATTCTCACTTCAGCACAAGTCCAAGTCCCCACTATAATCAACGGTGCTGGAACAAAAATAAGATACTGTGCACTTAACCTCTACCAAAATCAATCCTGCTCAGCAAAGAAATAGGAAATGCTCTATTAAAAAGGCTTTTTCAGGACTATCCCTCAATAAAAGAGATGCAAGAAAAAAGTCTCTGAAGAAATGTTGCTCTCTCTAAATAGAATCTTTTCCTGAGTATGGTTTCTATGAAAACTTCTGGACTGACAGCTCTAGGAACTGTCATCTGTCTATTAGATTACAGAGCATTAACCATTATTTCTTGTAAACAATTCAACCCTGGCCTGAGTATAGTTTGGTTTCCACCTAGACTCACATCCAAGAATCTCCAATGGGAGATCCAGTAGTGCTAATTGGTGGGCTAATCCTGCAACACTGATTGCTGTCTGCTGGGAGAGGGATCAAGCCCACCATCTAATTTCCCACAGATCGCCAGACAACCAAGTGATGATAACAACTTAATCCTTGCCAAACTAGACAGATGGAGTTCAACTACTGAGGGTCTTCCAAACCCTTTAGCCATCTGTTCCCTACTTCTGAGTATTTTCTACAGCAAGAAACTCTCAAAAGCCCCAAATATTACCTTTTTATAATCAGTTAACCATGAAATTACTGTTCTAATCATATATAAGCACTGCAAATTTACACCACACATAACAAATATAAGTAAAATTTTGAGCATTTTTGATAAAAACAAGAAGACTTTTTCTTCCATATCTTATACTAGATATATCTACAGGTTCATGAGCAGAATTGGAGCAGCCAGCTCATCCTAGGCTGCACATTTTCATCACTTCTCCAACTTGTGTTCCAGTGCCTATTGATCCTCTGCTGTAATGGTAGTGGAGTAGTGGGCAGAGTATCAGTAGTTACCTAAAATTAATTGGAACCAGCAATAACAGCAAAACCACTTGTCCAGTCTACATTTAATTTCCACACTGACAAATTTGTGGGAGCCCTATTGAATGTAGACAACAGAGAAAAAATTGCAAAAATTAATTTTTTTCACATGCTGTATAGAAAAGTAACAATCAAAGAATTGTGTTCTGCATGGTTGGACAGTGTTTCAAATCTTGCTTGACACTCTCTGCTTTTTCTGACCACTGTAAATAAAACACCTAATACTTTTACCGCTGATGTTAATGGGGCTTTTACACTGATACAATTTTTAGTTAGGAATTAAAACCACTTACTATCAAATACTGTTTATAAATATCAGAAACTACTACTAAGAAATTACTTCAATTCAGCAAAAATACTTTATTTCACCAAGAGACGATCAAACCTGAAATTAATTTGAAATAACAGTGTTGATGTGGTAACAAGCAACAAAAATGGTAAAGCCCTAAAATTTCAATTACTGGAAGAGTTGTAGAAACACAGCAAGCAGACCTATACAGAGCAGCACTATGAAGAACATCAGGGCCTACATAGGCAAAGGATATAGACCATTATCTTTAGGTGCTTACATATGGTTTTTCATCAACATCATTGTGATCAGATTCACAATTTTATATTTTAAACTAATGAGAAAAGTGAAAGCCATACAGAAAAACCATTAAGTTCTTGCTCACCCTGTAAAGAGTGGTTATTTCATGAAATATGGTGCCGCTTTGAAAATCTCTAGTTAAAAAAAATTTCGTAAGTGATCATGTAATCATTGAAAGGAAAATTAGTTTTAAAAAATGTATGTTTTTCTTGGCAGATTTTCTTTCTAATGCTAATTCAAAGTATGTAGCAATATTTTGAATTTACCTTTTGGTGCAATCCAGATCTACAGGCTGTTTGATGTACTGGATTCCTCTCAGTATACTCTTAAAAGGCATTTAATCAGGTGCTATCTTTCAGTCCTTTGAATAAGTAACATTGCCATTGTTGCCCAAATTGCATCTGAAAGATGCATGTGTGAGATTGTGAGTGGCTGAGGGAGAATCAACTTAGGCTTGTGTTTATCAAGTGAAAACTGAAAAGATTGAGTCTGTATTTATTATATGCCTTTGCTTAGGAATGTCTCTTAATTTCATTCATTGAGAGTTTCTGCTCATTGTTGCAAAGGGTTAATTTTTTGATAGTTTAGGTAAATAAAAGTTGCTTCCTGAGCATTTTTCTGCAACTGGCTTTGGTAGGAAAAGATACAATTAAAAACATTCAATTCATTTATTGTATCTGATTCTTTAAGAGAAGAATTCATAAAACAGCTGTTCTGGTTGGTGTTTCTCACCAAAATTCTCCTTAGGAATTATTAGAATTATTTAATGGCTCTTCCTTAAACTTCATGCAGCTGTCAAAGCCAAAACTCTCCAAACCAGAACATTCTTATCAGTGCAGAAGAATTTGGAACTCATTTGTAATGCAAATCACCCAGTCACATCGTCATTGTCAAATGCACTGGAGAACAGAATATTCCTATTGAACAAATTACTCACCAAGAATCACAGCAACAACGGTGAAGAGCACAAAGGCATTCCTCATTAAATAACTTTTAACATCGTCCTTTGTTATGCTCTGCACTTTTTTTTTTGCCAAAAGTGTACGTTTCCGGACTCCTTGTTGAATTCGTTCCATCCTACTTCCAGGTTTTGGATCTTCTCCGTTACCTTTAGTCATTTATCTTGCTGAAAGCTTTCTTTTATAATTAACTTCTGTCAGTATCCCGTCAGAATAGTAGAGGAGTCTTTGGGAGGTACTGGAGAAACCTGCAAGACAAGAAATATCAAACACTGCAGTAAGATTTTAGGGGAATGATTAGCTATATATTTACACAGAAGAAAATATTTTTCATGTTTCAGTAAAACTTGTATTGTTCCTAATAGCTAAGTAGTTTCTGATGCAAAACCTCCATGACTTTCAAAGGAGGATTATATGTACTGATCAGGTAAGTGTCCCATGTCTGCAGAGATTAACCTGAACTGCTGCCATGCTGTGTAACCCAGGAGTAACTTTTTTTTAATATTTGCTATTGATACATAAAGGTGAAACCAGTACAAATAAATCATAGCAACTTAAGGTATTATAATGTTTAAAAGTATCTGTCAGGCTTGATTTTGTACTTTTTATTAGGCCACTATTAATTGGAAAAAAAATCTAGCTCACATCCACATCAACCATTGAAGAGAAATATTTTGATCAAACCAGTACATTTAAGTAGTTCTGCATTTCAGATGTTTTTAAATGATTGAAAGCATTGACTCAATTCCTTCTTTTCACATGGAAAAATGCAGCAGCAATAGTTTATTTATCCCTCAACCACTATTTACAAGATATGCCTTTGACAGCTGTACGTTGATAACGTTCATCTTTTAGCTGCATAAACTACTCTGAGCACATCTGTAAAGCATCAGAAGTAACACCGCACTTGTTGCTTGAGCCTGTAATACCAGCTCACATTGCAGAGTAACACCTAGCTTGTCCTGATACCAATGTCGAGAGTGTATCACAGAGCACAGACTGTACTAAGCTGGAAGGGACGCATCAGGATCATGGAGTCTGAATCCTGGACCTGTGCAGGACAATCCAAGACCCACACCACTTCTGACTTTAAGAAATCACGCTCTGAATCATCCTTAAAATGTTTCAATATTAAAAGATTTTCATTAAGGTATTAATTTTTATTTTAGATCGTGGGGGTTTGTTTTGATGGCTGCTGGGTATGAGTTTATTTAATAATGAAGCCTCTTCAAAGGTATTTTCCAGACTGAGAATCCCATTTTCTGAAGTCTTTGTTAATATACACTGGCATGCCTTTTTAAAAGAAGTTAGTAATGAATAAATGGATAAACTTAGGTGCCCCTGCTGAAATCTGTCTCTATTTATAGACAGTTCAACTCTAACATCTCATTTTTAATAAATTTAGTGCCAAAACACCTTATATATATATATATATATTTTTTTTTTTTTTAAGGAAGCACTTAAAATATAAATACACAGGGGTTTCAGCCAGCACGTTTTAAACAAAATCGCATGTTGTAACAAGTTTATTTTGGTGGATTTTGATCTCTGCTTTTACCATATGTTTCAAGACCGGCACTGTAGTGCAATATCCTCCCTGAATTTTAACAGAATGTTAACTGTGCTGCTTTAAGGAGAGGAAACATTCTGACACCGAGCTAAATATTTAAATTAGTAAGTGTTCTACCGTGGACAAGACTGCTCTGTGGAAGCAGGATTTTTTTTTTTTCGATTTTTTTTTTTTGTTGCTGTTGTTCCGACCGATTAATGTAAGCATTCTGAAAAAAAAAAAAAAAAAAAAAAAAAAAAAAAA